ATATTGTTCCCGTTTTGGAGCCCCGCCCCTAAGTCCTTACTGTATAAAGGAATCATTTGCCAACTTCTACAGATGTTTCAGACCAAATTTGGTTGAAATCTACCCAGGGTTATACAGGAGTACTGTTTTAAAGGAAAAGCTTACTGAGAGCGAACGGCACACAACGATGTATGATAGCAATAGGTCATCTTGACCCTCCCGGTTAGATGACCTAAAAATAAACAATTGATAATAAACTGTAGTTAAACAATTAATGATGAAAGATAAGGACATGACATTATTTTTTATTGTTAGACAATGGTCAAGAACAGAAATACATTCAATCTACTATTTGAAAAAAAATCATGATACACAACCAACATTTGAAATCATTACTTCTCGGTCAGTTGATATCATTCCAAATATGAAAGACAATTTTACAGTACACTGTGCCTTCATATCTTAAAGTATCAGTTTAAGGGTATTGTATATATTGTCTTACAGACAGCTTCTAAGTAATGAATGTAGTCTAAATTAATAACATACTTTAACTGTGGTCCCAAAATGATTAAAAAACAACAACCTTAGCACCATTTTCTCTTCAAAAATGATTGAACTAGTTATGTGCTATGTAGTTTCACAGTACTGTACCGGTATTCTAACATAAGCAATTTTACACAATCAAAATAACCATTGACAAACATATGAAAAATTGTCAGTATTGGGTAGCCAGTGTATAAAGTTTGTGAGGAAGGAAAGATACTCATTACTAGGAATATTTCTATTTAAGACAACATCTCACACTCACTTCTCTTGGGGGTATGTAATGCCAGGAATACATAGTCAATTAATGACCAACAGACTGTAATAAATATCCATTTTATAGCTTATATTTTGTTTTATAAATCTCACATGAAGAAATAAGTAAAGCAGAAAATAGATCCCAAAGGGCCTTCTGATGGCCTCCATTGTGGCCTCTTTTTCTAATAAAATCTATCTGTTCTTAGCACGTTTAATACTTCTCTCCTGCTTTTCTGTTGAAAATGAGAAGTTAGCTGACTTAGTGAAGTGTGAAGAAAAAGAATTTCTGATTGTTTGAATTTCCATGTCTCTACTATCATGTTTCATAAGTAGTTCAGGGCCATTTATTTCCTGAAATCTTCCTCAGAATGTATACATTTTTTTTTGCAAATCAAGGAAAATAAAGTTGAGGAACGCCCACTCAATACTCTGAGAAATGCATTATGAATAAAGGGAAGTTGATAATATTCTTCAAAGGTGGAAATTCAGGCTGGCAACCTGTTGGTCATCTAGTTATGTCATCACCCTCAAAATATAAAATATGAAGAGTAAAAAAAAGAGAGAGAGAGAGAACATGGGGAAGTCTTTCAAACAAAATAAAAAAAAAATGGCAAAGATCCAGAAAGGGAAATTATGGAGCAAATGTATAAATTTGTATTTGGTATCTCCATAGAAAAAGAGAGATAAAGGACTGAAAATCAAATCCTCAATTTAAGGCCACGGATAAAAGGTGAGATTAAAATGGTACACTTGTAGTTATGTCGGCTAAAATTATAAGTGATTTCTTTTTTGGTTAACGTGAGGACATATTTTAGAAAAAAAAGAAATAGAGAAGAGATACCAGTAACTCAAGCACACAATAACTGTACCCTTATCCAAGTAATCTAAATCATCAACCAAAAACAACTGTAGAAATAAATATTTACACATTCAGACATATCATTCAATGACACTGTGCCTGCAGCTACAAAGAACAAATAATCTTATTTAAAGAGACAAAAAATCTACAATTCAGACTGAACAGTTAACACAAATAAAACATAAAAAACATCCATAACCAGCCAATAAAATTATCAAACAAAATCAGTCTTATACTGAGTATAACAAATATTACTTGACTTTATCATATAAACGTTTGCTATGTTACATTGTATATGTGAAGGCTAACACTTAATATATATTTCTATCTTAGCTGGTTGTCTTTATTGGTCATAAAAGCACTTAGAGTGTACACATGTACTTTAATGTGCTTTCAACTTTCTTGGTCGGAAGGCATTCAATATTTTCATCAACATCTAGGTTGATATAAGAACGTTGATAGAATGCCAAAATAATTTGGCCATTCTAAATGATAAATCAATTAATTGCTTGACAAATATTTGGGAATCTACGTGTACAGCACTTTAGAGTGTATCACTTTGATTTCTGTTTGATCTTAAATACATGCAATTGTCCTAAATATTCATTAAATACATGTATCAGTCAAAGTTCTGTATTATAACAATGTTCAAAGAAATAAAAAAAAACAACACACACAAAAAAAAAAATAAAAAACCAAGAAATTTTGATTCGGAAATGATAAACTCTTTTCTTTATAATCTTAACTAGAGCAAAAACTAAAGACTGCACTAGATGACTGTGTAACACTTCCTAACACTATTACCGATACAGCAATAAAGAAATGCATGAAGCTATCATATATATCAAAAGTACAATTTGTATATCACTTTAACAAAAAAAACAACAACAAAAGAATGTGTTATACATGTTATAAATAATGCCTGGACCACTCAATTCTACATAGAAAATACAGATCACTGAAAATCTGTTATCACTTTAAGAGCAAAACTTTTTTTTTCAAAAATATAATCATGTTAATACTATAGACTAGAGCAGAAAACTGTTTTAGTCAATTAAACAAAGATTATAAAAAAACAAAAACAAAAAAGTGTGACAGTTGGTTTTCATGACTCAGTTTGTGTACTGACCAATTCAAAAAGAGCTATGCATTTAAAGTCTATGTTAGAATTTTACATGGCTTGATTCTGCCAAAAACCTGCATACATTTTGTATATTTGGTATTAGTTGAAGAATCATTTTACATCTTAAGAGTATCTGGTCAGATGACATGTAAAACTTTCCAAGATAGTGTACCTATGCTATGACATTCATGTGAGGTAGCAAGTATCAAGGGCAGATCAGCAAACATGTCCACCTATCACACACAAGCAGCGATAACTAAACAGGGAGATACAGCAGTGGTCATACACATGACCTTCTTGGAGGAAAAAACGGTTTCACCTAGGAGTTTGAGGTTTGATTCCCTGTAAAGGTAGAAGGTCACCTGCTCAACTATCTAGGTTTTCCTTCCATATTCTTCCAAAAAATAAGACCTCTTAGGCATTTCCCTCAATACAATACATTCTACTTAAAGATTTCTCTGGCGTAATTCCTTAAACAATGTCAAAAATATATCAATTTGTTCACTAATATGTACAATTGGTTCATATGATGATGTACTTTCAAAGTAACTAGCTTAAAATAATACATATGTGTAATATTGATGAATAAAGATGTCGTTTAAAGTAAAATATGTGAAGAAAATTCTTGTGTCAACATCTATGATGTAAGGGAGATAACCCTCATTAATTCTGCAACAGATTGTATCATAGAATGTACAAAATGCCCTGTAATTTGAGGCAAAGTTTCATCACTTTTCCAGTGTTCCCTGTTGTATCTATAGAGACCAATGCTTGAAAACCAGGAGTTTGAATTTCATCGATTTTAGGGGTTTAGTACCTTTACTTAGGGATAACTGGTCAACACTGTGTTTCTAATGTATACAGACATAGAGAAGTTTAATTTTCTATGTAGACATATGCCAATCAGAAGAAGTTGTGGATAATTACAGACTACAGACTAAGGTAAATAATCAAATGTGTATACTGTATCATTTAGCCTCCTCATTTCCCTTCCCAATTTTAATACATTGTGATATATATAAAATTATTTGTCTACACAAGAACTTTGATAATATTACAAACATCAAATTTCAATTTACCAATGAAATACGAAGTTTGCATACAACAGGAAAATTTGAAGCATTGTATCTGAGACTGAGACCTCAAAAGTACACAACACAAAACTGGTGTATTTAAATGTTGCAGTTGGTGTGAACATTTTAAGTCAAATAGTTAGAAGTTGGATGTGTAAGCAAGAAGGAATCAAGGGTTTTACAAAAATCATAGCCTAAGTGTAATTGCTACAAGACTGTATTAAGCAAGTGTAGATTAGCAAAATTGTTGATAAAAACTGACCGCAGGTCTACTGCCTTAAGATAAAAATGTACCACTGAAAATCAGTTACAGAAATCAGTGATCTTCTGTATTCTGATGAAATCTGTACAAATTTTAACAATTTTACAAATAATTCATCCAGCAAAGAAATAAATATTCTGTCTGGTTATTTGAGAATTTTGTGAAATTCTTAATAAAATTTTAAGAAACCTGCTACTATAATAATTTTCCTGTCATGGTAATCACACTCACGAAGGACATCAGGACTGTGAGCTTGTTAGCAAAGTATAGAAAACTGTATTGATTTAGGATACACTTTTCTCCCTTCTATGGATATATCGGCTGCCAATTTCCTGATTAATTAGGAATATATTGTGTTTACCATTTCTAGATAAAACGACACATTTGTAACATATTGTGTTTACCATTTCTAGATAAAACGACACATTTGTAACATATTGTGTTTACCATTTCTAGATAAAACGACACATTTGTAACATATTGTGTTTACCATTTCTAGATAAAACGACACATTTGTAACATATTGTGTTTACCATTTCTAGATAAAACGACACATTTGTAACATATTGTGTTTACCATTTCTAGATAAAACGACACATTTGTAACATATTGTGTTTACCATTTCTAGATAAAACGACACATTTGTAACATATTGTGTTTACCATTTCTAGATAAAACGACACATTTGTAACTTTTATGCCATCTTTTCCATTTTGTTTTTAAACTTTCACAAGTTCTTATATTTTCACCTTCAGCAGTTGAATAGTTCTCAAGTTTACCTGTGGAATACTAAATGACATTGCAGCCATGTTTTAAGCTATTATGTAAAACACAATTTTTCACACGAATTGTAAAGACAAATACATGCATACAATTACAAACATTCATACTTAAACCTTTATCTATAAGATCCAACCTGGCACAATAACTAATCCCCTTTAAAAATAATATCTTCAGCTGATGACTTGATATTCAAACTCTTTTCACATTCTCTTCTCACAGAATTAAAACAGTATACAAAACTTTGCTTTTTCACTACCGCTTTTTCTTTTCCTTGCCATATGCACTGTCCAATCCTAAACCTGTAAAAACAAACACTGTACCTATCCACTGTCGTGAATTCATTGGGTTTTGGAATATAAGAACTGAGGCGAAGATTGTGAAAAACTTTCTGGTGGTGGTGATGATGGAACATGTAAGTGGACCAAAACTTGTCACTGTGGTGAAAATAAACATCTGAAATATGAAAAATAAGTAACAACTGATTACATTTCTAGATGTAGTACTATTCAGAAGTGTAAAATGGCACACCATACCTTTAGAATAGTTTTCCTTATTCCAAAAAGATATACATTTTACATATATGTGAAATGAAAACATAAATGAAAATCAAAAACTCGGTGGACTTGTTGATCTTTTAGCAAAGTTTCATTGTAGTTAAAAGTACAACATATATGAAAAAAATTAAAACCATAACAAAATCATTGAAACTCCACATTTATTAACTTCTTATCAACTTCCATATACATTGTACTATAAAGATTTGTCATGATTAACCTATGATCTTTCACTGCTTTTTTCCAGTGAAATATCAGATATTATGAATTAAATAAAACTGATAGATTTTAAAAGCTTGTCACTAAAATGATAAATTGTGTAATATAAGAATCACCTACCATACATAACACTGAAACATTGCTAATGACTATTCCTAAAATTGTGTTCAATTATAATTAAGTAAAAACACAATCTAATAGTATTCATATTTGCTTCTAATTACACCTTTCTATAGCTTATAAAAATGTGTAACATATGAAGATTTATTGTAATGAATGTTCATGAATTTCTCAGAAATAAAACATATTTTCTTACCTGTCCTACTGCACTTGCAATTCCAAAGTACAGCATATTTAACAATACTGATGGATGATTTTGAGCAAATACTAAAAACTTTAGAAATTCTCCAGTACCAAGTAAACCTAAAACACAAAAACAACAATCAGGTTTGGAGACTTAATATGATTGTTTTGAAGAAAATAAACAATCATGGCAATGGTTAAAGAAAATTGAAATGTTAATGATGATGGCATAATCACATCAAAAATTGTGATACGAAGTTATTTTCTGAAGTTTTTATTATAAATATTTATACATCTACAATATATATATATATGTTAAGCTATAATTACATCAGGAATGACAATGAAGTAAACCAATTTCAAAGTATAAATTAAACTTTGAATATTGTTTCAAAAAGCAATGCATATTTGTCACATACTGTATAGCTGGTTATTCTTTGGGGGGATATTTTCACTATTTCATGGTATGTTAATGTGATCAGAAAAAAAAAATTATTCCATGAAAAAATCAGACATGTGTAAAAGATGTTCCAGATTGCAAAATTTTAATTTGTTCAATTATAATTAGATCATTTTCAACAATAATTGTGAAAATTTTGACCTGTAAAGATTACCAGCTAAACAGCAAACGTACATTGTAATATATACTTATAGTATATAATACAAAAACCACAAGCTGTTGTTAAGCTCTGTAGGTAAATAAATTTGATACTTGCCTAGAATGGACCAAACATAACACCACAAGATGATTTTCAACTCTGAAGGCTCCTGTTGTTTATACTTACCTAGAGTGAACCAGACTTAACACCACAAGTTGTTAAGCTCTGTAGGTCTCTATCTTGTGTACTCACCTATAGTGGACCACATCAAACATCACGAATTCATGTTCATTGCTGTTGGACCTTGTCTTATATGCTAAACTATAGTGGACCATATTAAATACCACAAATTGATAATTAGCTCTGTAGACCCTTATCTTTCATGCTCACCTATAGTGGACCATACTAATGACCAGAGATTAACATTGAGCATCATGCTATAAGCCCCTGTCTTGTGATCAGATCTCATCCTCTCTTGTGTAACACCAGTCAGACCATCCAGAGTCAGAGACACTAGCTATTGGATAGAGAAAAAATCTTAATAAATTCATCATGATAATCAATATCCCTTATACAATATCCACTTCACTTCTGGTAGGTTACTTTTCATTTAGAAATAAGTTTAAACTTCTATACACAAAAACAATAACTAGACATTAATACATATGTAAATATCAGTAAAATATTTTAGTATACCAGTACACAAGAAATCAGGTTGAAATCTGAAAGGTTCTTTCTATCAAGTGAGAACAGCTGTTTTATGTTATCTGCTCAAATTTAAAACATTTTTCAGTTATCTTTTATGTATAAGTTCTGTGCTTCATCACTGCCATCATATATTTTCATATTCTGTAACAATGACTTTGTTAGGTATTAACTGAAACTTTAAAATAAGCATGAACTACTTGTTATATAACTGACTGATAATTTCTAATTTCTTTAAAAATGAATACAAGCAACAACTCAACATATTAAAGGACAAATAGTTATTCATAGATATTACTTTATCAAATAATTGTACATAGTCAAACATATCTGTATATAACAAGTACCTTCTTGAAATTGAAAGAGAGTCTGCACAAACAATGTACACACTCCCAAACTCAGTTACATTGTTTGTGTATTCTGAAATTAAGCATTTAGCAAAACAATGAAAACATCAAGTTTACACATATATTTGCCTTTAGCTTGGAATTACGATAGACTGAAAGTTTATTTCCAGTAAACATATATTCTTTATGACAGAAAGGTTTAAAATGAACTAAAGGTTATCCTAATAAATGCTTTTGTCGAAAGAAATTCCATCTACCATGAAAAATTCACAAACCAAAAGCAGTTCGCCGAAGCCAAACATTGTCTTGTTTTCTTTAGAACTTGGTGCTTTGTCTTTGTATAGGAACATGGCTACACCTATAACTATCATGAGTACAAACAGGAACTTGGCTGCAGGGTAACGTTTCCTGGCAAAAAGTATACCCAGTATCATCACAGGTATAGGCTTGGCAGACTTTCCTAGAACCTACAATCAAGAACAGCACAATTCAATAAGAAATCGGGGAAACACTATATATCATCAACACAATTATTTCTTTACCAGTACTCATTAGTTCACATCATTAAAATGAAAAGTATAGAGGGATTTCTTAACATCTAAATGGTGAAATGATGATAGTCAATAAACAGCAATCTTTGTACACCTGCTAGTATTAAAAATATTTACAAAGAAAGTTAATATCATGTCTGTGTGATAGCTTGGTTTACTTCATTTGTAAGGCCTCCCCATAATCAATGTAACATAATCAGAATTTATTCAAATTTTAAAATTCTAAAATTTCACTAAAAAATTTCAATGTGTGCAAGGTAATTTTATGCCAATCCCAACTTAATCAAACCGTATGTTGAAAGACCTATGTGTTCACCTGTGTTGGATAGTTGACAAACTGAAGAGCCTGATTACTAGCTAACATAGCGCCAAGGTAGGAAAGAGAACATAGTCCATACAGTTTGGCGGGTGTTAGGTCCTTCTCCTTCTTCCAGAACATCATTACTGGAGAAAAAAAAAATTAAAATCTAGATAAACCTCAGAAAAAAAATTTACATATACTAATATACATGATTATACTACAGTACTTTATTTTATGTCAGAAAGTATCAGTTATTTTACTTTTACTGAAAAACATATCCTTTTATTGTTTAACATATAATTTCAGACCATCAGATGTCAAGGCACCTACCTGTGGTCAGTTCTAAATGTAATGAATCCTATCATTACCTCCTAAAGATTTGATGTATTTATTAGATTTCTTATTTGGCAAAGTTGATTTTCATAACATCGATAAAATGCATTTTAAATATTTAATCTGTTTGTCAGTTCTGAATGTGTTGCTGAGCCTTGAGCTCATGGTACAAATGCAAAATGTCTATGTCTAAAACTTATTCAACTACACATAGATACAATGGCTCCACCTAAAGTCACTTACACTAAAAGCTTACCTAGTTTTGCAGCTAAGGCATTAACAATACACTGCAGGAAAACAAGTGTTGTGGTATATGTAAACTTTTCTGCTTTCTCTCCATCTCCATATTTACCTTTGGTTCTGAAAAAGCAACACACATAAAAAATACAATTCAGGTTTTATGAAAATTGAAAGTATTCCAAGCAATGATATATGAAATTGTATTTATCTGGTAGTTTAATTCTTTGCAAGACTTTACTATCAGTTTACAAAATATGCACAACATTCAAATGACTGACTTCAATAAAAATGACAACCTCAGATTAAAAAGAAATAAATTTGATTTGATTTATATTTTATTTCTTACCTAATTTCTGACATCAATTAGAGAGACAATGATGTGTGACTAAACACTATGTGGACATATTCATTTTTTTTGTTTTCCTGTCGTCCCATTGGACAACGTTGAATATCTCAGAATACCTGCATTGCTTGATTCCATAAGCTCAACTACACACAGAGGGTAAGTTTCAACATTGAATAAGGGTTTATAAGTCAAAGGCATGCTGCAATTGTAGAATCAAAACAAAGATTGCTATTTGTTCTAAACTTGGATACAGTTATGCATGTGTAAAAGGAACATGTCAGTTTTGCTTGTATGTAATGTTAAATACGGTCTCTGTCACTCAGCTGGGAGAACATGCTTCTTTGGCTTAGTTGGTTGAGCCTGTTGATTATCATGCTGGACACCCAAGTTCAATTCCTGGCTTGGACGCTCGACAGGAATTAGTATTTTCACTGTTCTGTTACAGATGGTTCAACCAAATTTGAACACTAAAACTGGTTAAACATGTTTATACTCACTTGGTTTGGGTTACCTACAGTATATTTCACACCCATATGCTTTATTGTTTGTCTCGATATGCCCACATCCATCAAAGCACATATTAATCAATAAGGTTAAAACATATCCACGATTTTACCATGTTTTTCACGATTCTGTCAAACTTTGGAAGTAACATAAATGTCTGCCTTTATGTATTCCTGCTCATTTTTTCTCTTTCTTTCTTACATTCAGTTGAACAGAGCAGCCAGCTGGCAATTGTTACATAATCAGATAAGTAAATATGAGGTTAAAGATATGAATGAATTGACCTAAAAATAACAAAATATTACTTGGCAGTATAAAGCCACGTGTTTGGATAAATAAATATACAAATATCGCTACTCACATAGATTCTTGAAGAAGACCATACACGAAATATGACAAAAATGTTCCGATAGCGCAGACGGCCAACTTTGTGTTGGTGGCAGATGACATCTTCTCAACTTTGGCCAGATCTGTTGGTATGAGAACTTCTGTTTGGCCTTCCAGTGATTTCCCACCTATCATTCAGCAGATAATCGGAAGAGAAATTTACATATTATCAAATATATCGAACAAAATAGGCGTGTTATTTGTACGTGTCACACTCAGACTACTTCAACGTTACTTCCTGTTTCAGGAGAAAAATTACGTGCTTCTTTGTGATTGGCCAAAATAAATTTTGTGGGTTTTCCCCTTAGTTATTTCAGGGATACGTGTCGATCTATGTATGAAAGTCCGTGACATTACATTGAATATAAACATGTACGTACATTTTTAGTTTATCTTTTTCTCGATATTTTCCGGAAGGATAAGTATTCTTGGTATTTTTCGAGGAGATCTTTGTTTCCATAAAAAGATGATTCTTTTATCATTAAAAAGCAATGGAATGAGTTTTTGTTTATTATCCAAATATCTATCTCTCTATATATATTGGAATGGTAATTTTCAATTTGATTTGACGGCTGAAAATCTCCATAGCAGCCGGGAAAATGTTAATTTTGACAAATTCGTTAAAAGTCCCAAATAAGTTAATGTTCTGCAATTTAACTTTCAATATTTTTTTAAAGTTCCACTGTTCTACTATATCGGAAGCAGGATGGGTCAGATTCACCATTCTAGATTAAGAATGGAATGTAGCTCTTTAAAATTATACTTATACCGTAGAAATCTTATTGATAGTCCTTTATGTTCATGTATGGAAAACGAGGAGACTAATGATCATTATCTGTTACATTGCCGTCTTTTCTCTCGATTTCGTTTACGTTCCTTTTCTACAATAAATCGTCCAATAACTACTAAACTGTTACTATTCGGTGATGAAGAGCTGTCATATGACGAAAATGCATTAATTTTTTCATGTACTCAGGATTATATCCTTAACTCCAAAAGATTTGAATGATGTCTCTTTTCTCCAATACATTCATGTCTGGGTAGGTCTTTACTGTGTTTTCATAGTAAATTCTGTACTTGAGGTATAACTGAGCAACCCCCCCCCCCCTCTTCCACCCTTTTCTTTTCTTTTTGTTCTTTATCTATAAGATAGCATATTGATTTATTCTTTCTCACATATTATCTTATAATAACAGCCTACGTCCTTAATTACGCATGCGTCTCTACTAACTGGAGATGGATTAATATAAGTTGTCAAACTTGTTTCCAAATCCAATTTCAATTGTTATTTGATGCAACTATGTACATTGTAAAGAGAAAAAATGAAATAAAATAAAGTTTACAAGAATACGTTTTTGCTTTGATAGAAAAAACATGTTTTGGAATTGTTTACACGAGGAAAAAGGGAGGTACCGTTGAGTTAAAGTTTTTCCACTCAAATGTCATCTTTATCAAAAGTGAAGAAAATGACTGAAATGTTCATTTTTGAATCCTAAAATCCAGAAAAATTATTGGTTCAGTCAGAGACGTATGTGTTATCAGGGACGTATATATCATTAATATATACGTTAATATATACGTCCCTGGTGTTATATACGTCTCTGGTTCAGTCATGATTTCCGTATTTCAAGTCTGTGATTTATAATGATGGTTCATGCAAAATTTTATTGAATTATGCGCAAAACATTTAGAGTTATACTAGAGAAATGCCGTAGCGATGGAATAAACGTTGAAATTGTTAACCCTAAAGATCGAATCGCGGCACCAATTACTGAAATACAAATTAAGGTTCACATGGAAAAACCTACAGAACGTTGTATTTAGCGCTCTATTGGTAACAAAACTTGATCAAAATGCAAAAGTCTATCATATTACCTGGACTTTGTTTCAGTATACAGAATTACGACCACTTCTGGTCAAGTATGAGTTCCAAACATCCTTAATTAAGATACTACTGTCAATACTGTGTATTAGAGCAAGAAAACCTGTAGGGAAATGATAATAGTTCCTTTCTACATTTACGACCCTGAACAGTTAGGATCGACTTCGGATTTATATGATTTTAATTTCGAAGCTCGTTTGTACCTTTCGTATTCAGATGATGATGTTAACTATCAATATTTCTGTTATGGAAATCTCCGCTACAGAAAAATGCACAATAATGAGATCACAATGTTGGTACAACAGTGTGATTCGAATTCGTCGTCGAAATCTTGAAAAGCTTCTAAGGGCCATGTGCACGACAGTAATGTAGAGGGCGTCACAGGTGTAAAACAAAAACAAAATATTTCACGCTAAGGACACACATTGGACATCTTACAATTTTCCCCGTCCGAAATATTTATTGGTGCTTTCTTGTGTCTTTTATATTTACGATGTCATGCTGTATAGGTGCCATCGGGTTTAACGATGTATAACTCGGGGCATATTCAAAACCACTAATTTATATTCAAATGTGTCATTCACATTTTAGTCCTCCGTACACAGCTGAAATATGCAAAACAATACCGTACTGAATATATGTGTTTACACCACACATCTCTGATCCAACACAATAAGAAATTATGTGAGAATTTAAACATGTTCTATCTTAACACCCTATACGAAGTATTTAACTTGTTCAGTGCAATCATGCTTTACAATGTACAATATAGCATACAGGTATACAATGATTTATCCTGATTTGCCACAGGGAATTTGTTAACAAGCTCTGTACATAGTATTGCTCTTGCATATTATTAACACTCATCAAGCCTAGCGGAAGTGGTGTTTATGAGTTTGATATGAACATAATTTAAAGACCTTTAAATAGAAAACGCACGAAAGGACACCAGACTCGACATATAATAACATTGACAATTTGCTGTTTAAGACAGAAAACGAAAACTGGTAAAGTTTGTCACCAATACAATACAGAATATGTTTCACTTACCTGTGTCTGTTTTATCAACACCCTTCATGTTTAAGCTATCTCCTCTGTACACTAAAGCATGCCACTGACATCGCTATTATACTGTCAACTGGTTTAAAACATTCCTCATTTATGTCTTATTAAGGTTCATTTGTATGTACACACATGTAAAACAGTAAGTGTTGTCACTTGTGTAGCCACGTATTTGATACAGGTGTAGGTGCGTGTAATGTATGTATGCAGTGACCGAATTAAGATTTACCGGTGACACATGTACTACTTCTATAATAGCATTTACTATACATAAAAGCATTTTATTTGGTATGCTAACCTTGATGTACACACATATCTAGCAAGCGTTCAATTCATAAGCAAATGTATAGATTGTACCAAGATTATACATGTGAAATAGATATCAATGTTTTAGTTGTCACAAGCTGTTGCTGAATAGAAAGGTAGAGACCTTCTCTATCCACCATACTCCATTAAGTTGCATCTGAACCTACTTCACCTGAACAAAAATCAATAATTAAAATTATTCCCACATATACCTCTTTGACAGAGAATGTTTCTTTACCTTAACACCCACTCACTACAAATACCCCCATCTCCTCTTATCACACCTTACAAAAAAATCCCTGCCCTCTTTCCCTTATCAGCCCTCGACATAGATACCCATCCTTCTTCATCTTATTTACTCTTGCCAAGGAGATTCCACTATCTTTATCTTATCAACTATCACTATTGAGACACCATCTCCTTCACCTTATCAACCCTCACCAAGAGACCCCATCTCCTTCACCTTATCAACTCTCACCAAGAGACCCCATCTCCTTCACCTTATCAACCCTTGCCATATAGACTACACCTCATTCACCTTACCAACCCTCACCAAGAGACCCCACCTCCTTCATTTCATCGACCCTCTCCAAAGAAACATAACCTCCTTCACTTTATCAGCCTCCACCAAAGAGACTTCACCTCCTTCACTTACTGGACCTCCACTTTACCTCCTTCACTTTATCAGCCCCCACCGTCTATACTTTACCCCCTTCATCTTATCAGCCCCCACCCTACTTTACCAATCAGCCCCCACCTCTATACTTTACCTCCTTCCTCTTCACTTATCAGCCCCCATCAACCCTCTCCATATAGCCCCCACCGTCTATACTTTACCTCAGCCCCCACCGTCTATACTTTGCCTCCTTCACCTTATCAGCCCCCACCGTCTATACTTTACCTCCTTCACTTTATCAGCCCCCACCGTCTATACTTTACCTCCTTCACTTTATCAGCCCCCACCGTCTATACTTTACCTCCTTCACCTTATCAGCCCCCACCGTCTATACTTTACCTCCTTCACCTTATCAGCCCCCACCGTCTATACTTTACCTCCTTCACCTTATCAGCCCCCACCGTCTATACTTTACCTCTATACTTTACCTCACTTCACCTTATCAGCCCCCACCGTACTACCTCCTTACTTTCAGCCCCCACTATACTTTACCTCCTTCACCTTATCAGCCCCCACCGTCTATACTTTACCTCCTTCACTTTATCAGCCCCCACCGTCTATACTTTACCTCCTTCACCTTATCAGCCCCCACCGTCTATCACTTATCAGCCCCCACCGTCTATACTTATCAGCCCCCTCCTTCACCTTATCAGCCCCCAGTCTATACTTTACCTCCTTCACCTTATCCCCCACCGTCTATACTTTACCTCCTTCACCTTATCAGCCCCCACCGTCTATACTTTACCTCCTTCACCTTATCAGCCCCCACCGTCTATACTTTACCTCCTTCACTTTATCAGCCCCCACCGTCTATACTTTACCTCCTTCACTTTATCAGCCCCCACCGTCTATACTTTACCTCCTTCACTTTATCAGCCCCCACCGTCTATACTTTACCTCCTTCACTTTATCAGCCCCCACCGTCTATACTTTACCTCCTTCACTTTATCAGCCCCCACCGTCTATACTTTACCTCCTTCACCTCACTAATCCTAAACAAAGAAACCCCAACTCCTACACCTTATCAACTCTTTCCATACAGACTACACATCATTCACCTTACACATCCTCATCATTGATAACCAAGTTGTGTGCCAATTAATAAGACATTGAATTTAATCCAAAGCTGAATCTGTTATTTTCTCAATGAAAACTGATTAGAATAATTACTTTTTATGACGAGCCGATCATAGAAATCAAACTACATACATATCTTATACTAAGTGATGATGCCAATGGAATATACACATATCTAATTACGTAAAAAGCATTTCAATATTTCAAGATTAACGGTATTTTTTCCAGACTATCCAACAGAACTTAAATACTTAAAATCATAACCACCTGTTTATAAGTGTCATATAACATGATTGTAATAGTTGTAGCTTTATACAAAACAGAGATATTCCATTCCATTTATCGGACTTTATATCACAACCAAAACTATTTTCTTTAATGTAACATTTGATTTATCCTTTATTAGTTAATAAAACAATTATCATTACTTACAGGAGTTTGTGTAACACTGCAAATAAATCATGTTAATCTATTTGCTGAAATTGGATCATGATCTTCAACAGTGTTTGACTATGTATGACTGTCTATCTTGCATCTGTTGATGGGTTGAATGCAGTATCACCAAATATTTATTCTCAATATCTTCTGACATGTGAATATCGACAATACATTGTCCAATATTTTACATTATTTATTTAAGATAACGGTCTTTATAAATGTATTAAATAACATATCCTTGGTTAAAGAGTTACTGCCTAAATGAATATTGATCACGAACTTATATATTTACATGTACGTCAAAGAGTTACTTCCCCTTATTGCAATATGTATTTTGATACCACCTGTGTCATCTTAAGGCTAGGACTAAGATCGGCTAAGTCGGATGTTCAATCCTATTGATTAAGGATTTCTATCAATGGAATTGGTTCGATGTACAATGTACACGTGTCTGTGTATTAAATTTTGTACAATGTATGTATATCAAATTCACTTTCTACGATGAACACGTTTTTGTGTTTCAAAATATACAATGCACACATGTGTGTATTAATTTTACAATATATACGTGTATGTTTCTGTGCATTAAATTATACACACACTTCTGCAATGTATGCATGAACAGGCATTATTCTACAATTTTAGAAAAAAATACACATATATCTGTACATGCTATAAACTGCATATGTATCGTATTTGAAATTTAACATGCGATGTGTTGGTTTCAATTGCTAATTATAGGTACGCGTACAACACACGAATGAGAAACACCACTTATTGTAAGTGTGTTAAAGAGGTCCTTAAGATAACTCAACGTTTAATGTATGTATATTGTACATATGAATATGTTCTGAAAGATGATTAATTGAGTGTGTCATACCTGTCGGATGGTGCACGATTTAATCCTCCCCAACAATTATACCTTACCATTAAATCAAAATCATTAAAGTCGACTATAAACCATAAACCATGTCTTAACCAAATTTGCAGAATGGGGAAATCAAAAATTTAACTAAAGTTAAAATGATATGTACTTTTATAGAAAAATTAGTGATATGGTTAGATACAGATTGTGTAATGATAGCTAAACACAAAGTGCGAATCAGTTTGAAATGGTTCCTTATTGTTTCTTCCGAGCATGCGTTTCTACTCACAGTATGACAATAACTGGTCCTGATATATCAATATTCCAAAGTATATATAACGTATATAGGTGGTAGTCCAACTGTGTAAAAAAAAAGGAAACAAAGTTCAATAATGGAAATAGTTCTGATAAAAACCCGTTAATCCGTAGCGTTTAACTAATCTAACTGCCGGAACGGAGCTTGCTTTTGTCCATACTGACAAATAGACAGGTATATCTTTGAAATTAGTGACACAAAAGTATCGTTACCTTAGGTAAATAAACTGAAAATATAGTACTATTTCCATTATAAAGAAGCATACCGTCTCAACCATTAACAATAGATGACATAATTGCCTCGGGTAGATATTAAGATAACAGTTGAAAAGAGCAGAGATAGAGTGTCACTCTTTAAAGACGTGCTCGAAGACATTGTTAATGACTTGTTACACTCCAAAGCAATTCTAAAATGGTATAGAAATGGATAAACATAAATAAACAAGCAAGTAGAAAAAAGGAGGAATATTTACAAGTTTTTTATGATAGTACAACAGGCAAGTTAAACACAAATACTACTGGGCACAGAAATAAAACAAAAGTTTGTAACATAATCGTTAAAAGTCATTTAATAGACATAGATACATATATGCAGACCCCGTATAAGGGCTGTCCACTATCGCACGCTAAAAACCTGTCTGAAACTTTTCGAAAAGGATAGGTGTGATAACGCCGGTCCAGGGGTTTAGGGAGAGTGTTAGGCTGTACAATCTTCCCCGAACCTGCTGTATCACTAAGGGCAGTAGGTCCGGGGGTTTAGGGAGATGCAATCTTCTCCGAAGTGTTAGGGGTCAATCTTGGGTTTAGGGAGAGTGTTAGGCTGTACAATCTTCTCCGAACCTGCTGTATCACTAAGGGCAGTGATGCTTACCTTTCTCCCCTCACCACGTGCCTAGCATTGTGTCTGGTGACAATTCTACCGTTCTTCCCTCCCTTTTCATCCACATCCTCCCTGAAGCGACCTCTGCCTGTCTGTTTGTTGCTTCCACCAATATCTTCCGGTTGGCTCCTCCAACCCTAAGGTAGGTTCTCTAAAATGACTGGCCAGGAAACCCCCTGCAGCCAACCACCTCAGGCAGACAATACTTTCTTCATCCTGCTGTTGATACCCATTCACCAATTGTTGGTACTTTGTTGGTCGTTTTCGTTCATTTTCCTCCTCCATCTAGTCTTCCCAAGGAACAGTTAGTACTTGGAGCTGCGAGACCAAAGCACGATATCTTGGCGGAGTGGTGTTGAAACTACCTCTACTTCAAAATTCATCCTCAGCTGGATGTCTGCCCTCAATTCTCAGTCTCCTGCTGTTGCTTGTATCCCACTCGCTTCCAAACTACCCTTCCTCACTGTTCCAGATTCAAGAAGTTGATGACTTTCCGACCACTTGAAATTGACTGCTTCTTTCGTCTAGCACAGTCGAGACTTGCTGCTATCTTTTTAAGGACCTGGTTGTGCCGCTATGTCTATCTGCCGTCTGTTATTACTACCTGGCATAATGTGAGCACATGAGCCAAGTCAGCTGCTCGGCGACACAGTGCACATGACGCGTTGTCCTTATTTCCCCAGGAAAACAAATTCGATAGACTCGACAGAACATCATATGTTGACTTCAAGAGGAGACTAAGTCTGCGTCCTTCCATATTCCAGCTGTTGCCCCATGATACTTTCCATTGTTTAACACTCTCCCAGCGGGTCCAGTTCCTTTGTTGTCTCATGCCAACAACCCTCACATGCCTAGCCTCCTCATCCATCATTCTGATCTCTGCCTAAGCCATGTTCCTGCGTGTCCGCTGACTAGCACTACCTCTTCCTTCAACTATAGTCTTCGTTGTACCTGTCATGTCGCCCATAAAAGCTCTGGTTGGTGGTTGTCGAATATGAGTTGCCATGTAAGGACCTCTGGTCATTTTCTCTACAGATTTCACCATCAGGTCTATGGCTGCTGCGACAAGCATTACAGATATCGTGTACCCAGTGACTATCCCAACTTCCAATCTCACCTTCCATCTCCTTTGCCTCTCTGACGATTTGGGTTAATACACTGGTATGTTCCAAGTAACAAAATACTCCGAGGACACCCCCTTCTATACTGTCAAGGTACTTGTTGTCGAGCATTTACTTGGTCATTCGCCGTAATAGGATGACAAGCATGACCCCCTTCAACATTTAGCAAAGATGTAGTCCTGAATTGGCTGATGTCCTTGGAGTGTTCTTCCGTAGGTATAAAGCATCCCTCAGCGGTGTTTTCTAGCTCTCTGCAAATCTCCTTCTCCTCCAAACAACCCGCACTAGTTTCCACAATTTCCTCAGTAATAGCGGACTGTTCTTGTAATCCCTATACGACACGCCGCTTCGTCCTGGTGCTGACCCTGTTCTCGCTTTCTTGATCATCTCCTGGACCTCCAGAAGCTTTTTGGTTCGCTCTCATCAAACGCCACCTTAGGCTCTTCTAGATCCCGAATTTTCATTTAACTAATACATCCTCTCTCATTTCAGCTATTTAATTGCATCATGATAATCTCCATTTGCTACATTTAATTCATTTTCGCACTGTATAACAAATCTTTCTCTGTGTAACAGAAAGCATTCGGACGATGAAAAACCTCAAGGATTAAAGGGACCATCTACACTATGTTACCATCCAGATATCTCCATGTGATAAAAAACCCACTCACTCACACCCACTGTACGAGTTCTTCCATCAAATATGTGACCTTGAAGTAAATGTAGCGTCATATCAGCGAACATATGCACGAAACAACATATACAGCTAGTACAGCTTGTACATTGTACCCAAACAGATAAGGGAGAGAACGCAGTACTACTAACTTGGTACACAGACGGAAGAGAAAGCTGTACTGCCAAACTACAACCTGTTACACAGACAAGGTTGAGAACAGTATACTACCGACCTGTTCCACAGACAATGTTAAGAACGCCGTACTATTGATCTGTCCACAGACAAGTATAAGAACGCGATACTACCGACCCTTTCCACAGACAAGGTTAAGAACGTTATACTACCGACCTTTTCCACAGACAAGGTTAAGAACGTTATACTGCCGACCTTTTCCACAGACAATGTTAAGAACGTTATACTACCGACCTGTTCCACAGACAATGTTAAGAACGTTATACTACCGACCTGTTCCACAGACAAAGCTGAGAGCGCTATATTACCGACCTGTTCCACAGATAAAGAATAAAACGCTGTATTCCTGACCTGTTCCACAGACAAGGACGAAAACGCTGTTCCACGGACCACTTACATAGACAACTTTGAGAAAATTGGATACGTTTATCCGTATCGATTTTTAGTCTGACGATCAGACGATCTTATTCACCGTGAGAATAGTGGTTAATTACATGTGCAGCTGTCAATTCCTTCATTCCCATCACCTACAATGAAGGACGTCCGTGGCATAATAAAAATTAATTATGTCGTATGTGAGCTGCTATAGCGATGAAGGTATTCGCCATGTACAAAATATTTTAATCTCTCAATGATTAACAAAAATACTGCAAATAACTTGTGATTTTTATATATATGCCAAATGTCTTTACGAACGAGAAGGAATTCATGAATCCAAAGAACAGGGCAATGAAAAAATGAAACGGAACATAAATTCAGCACAGAATGCTGATTCTATTGACCAACATCAAACGTCGCGCTTTTTTTTTTTTTTTTTTTTGCTTTTTCCCCTTTTTCGCAATCAACTTGATGAAAACCTGACTAAGTAGTTTATTGGCCAACGGTGCAATCATTGCACTACACGAATAAAGTTAGTCCCAAAGGCATAATTATGATTTATGTCAGTGGAAAGTAATAAGTCAAAAGATGGGTCAAATGAAACATACACGCATGGCTAAAGTAAGCTTCGTAGTTCAGATTACAAAAGGCCACCTCATAAAAAACAGAAAAACAACCCTGCTTACACTGCTTTCCTCTCGTAAGTTACTCATCCTGCTCTGTTTATCTATCTTTGTACAAGCTTTACGAGAGACTTAAACTATCGGGAAAAGCCTGCCCTTTTCAGTAGTAAGCGTTGTATGATATGCTAACGGCAAGATCACAAAACTAGCTGTAATCCGCCATTACTGTGATGTTTTAATCTGAAACAAATATAGTGGCGGCGACACATGTCACGTCACATTAGGGTATTTATCTGAAAATACTCTCCCTCCCCCTCCTTGGTGTGGGAAGGCTTTACTCCAATATACGTTACCCTAATTATCAACCAATAGTGAATTGACTATCGATCGGCATAACTTCAAACAATATCTAAAATAACAACAAAACAAATCTGTGGTATCACCGATTTAGAACTGCTATCGTAATTCTGCATTGTGAAAATTAAAACTCAAAACATTTCGAAAATATATCATATGGCAGAGTAAGGACTGTGATGTTTACACACAATAAAGGATAAGAGTTCAGGATCTGTGTAGCGACGCGAGGAGTTCACACTTGTCGACTTGTCTCGTGTATAAGCTGTGAAGTATATCGATTTTTACAAGACGAAAAAAAAACTCTGACATCGTACAATAAAGTGCTCCAACTGCTCGATGTGTCAGAAACCGACAGATACATTATTAAATACTGACGGCACATTATATACATACATTAATTAATTATTTACAGTAGGGAACATATACACAAATGTACTTTCGTATGTGTACATCAGTAATTTGACTATCATTTCTAAATAAGGTATCACTAGTATCACCCTTACAGATTATATCAATTAAATCTAAGAAACATAGCTGGTATAAAGGTTCTGTTCTGTTTGAATGGACAATAAGACAGAATAATGGCGAGACATGTTAAAGTTCTGTTACTGTTAAGCTGTCGTAAAAGAGAAACTAAAAATCGCTTTACTATTGATATGTTGGTGCCGGAGAAGGTTCTGTTCACCGTTTTTTGCGCAGGAAACGACAACTCCTTTTACTATAGAGATGTTGTGTTAGGAACGCTTTACTTTCTGTTACTACTGAGATGCCGTGAATGACAAACTAAAATTCAGTTTTGTTTTTATGTGTTGGTGCCGAAGAGCTATCACTCTCACGGCAAGTCCTTTTACTATTGAGATGTTGCGTAGGACGCGCTGTACTTTGTTTTACTAGCGAAATGTTTGTGCTGGAGTCGCTAACATTCAGTTTACTAATGTTTTGCTTTTCTTTGTGTGTGTTTTTATTTGAACAGGAGACGGTATAAATACTTTTTATTATTGAGATGTTGTGTCGGACACGCTATACATTCTGTTACTATTGAGATGTTGTGTAGGACACGCTATACCTATTGTTACTATTGAGATGTTGTGTAGGACACGCTATACCATCTGTTACTATTGAGATGTTGTGTAGGACACGTTATACCTATTGTTACTATTGAGATGTTGTGTAGGACACGTTATTCCTTCTGTTACTATTGAGATGTTGTGTAGGACACGTTATTCCTTCTGTTACTATTGAGATGTTGTGTAGGACACGTTATTCCTTCTGTTACTATTGAGATGTTGTGTAGGACATGTTATTCCTTCTGTTACTATTGAGATGTTGTGTCGGACACACTATACCATCTGTTACTATTGAGATGTTGTGTAGGACACGCTATACCATCTGTTACTATTGAGATGTTGTGTAGGACACACTATACCATCTGTTACTATTGAGATGTTGTGTAGAACACGTTATACCATCTGTTACTATTGAGATGTTGTGTAGGACACGTTATACCATCTGTTACTATTGAGATGTTGTGTAGGACACACTATACCATCTGTTACTATTGAGATGTTGTGTAGGACACGCTATACCATCTGTTACTATTGAGATGTTGTGTAGGACACACTATACCATCTGTTACTATTGAGATGTTGTGTAGGACACGTTATACCTATTGTTACTATTGAGATGTTGTGTATGACACGTTATACCTATTGTTACTATTGAGATGTTGTGTAGGACACACTATACTATATGTTACTATTGAGATGTTGTGTAGGACACGCTATACCATCTGTTACTATTGAGATGTTGTGTAGGACACGTTATTCCTTCTGTTACTATTGAGATGTTGTGTTGAACACACTTGATATGGTTGTACTGGTTTCTGCAGCATACGTTCCACCTTATGTTGCCATTGAAATGCTGTACAAGAATGCAAGAAAGTATGTGCTTTATTTCATTATTAAGCCAATTGTAACAGGCGCTATAGCTTTTGTTGCTAAGATATGGTACAGGAAAAGGTTGGCTTTTTTAAAGATTTTTTTTGTTGCGAGATATATTTATTTATTCTAGTGGTGTAGAGTTTGAATTTATTATCGTGTTTACCATTCATTTTTTGTCACCTTAGTTTCTGTTGTCATTTTACATTTTGGAATGAAATGTAGTAATAGAACGTGTGATAGAGGTTTTGTAGCAAGTGTAAGTGTGGCAGTGCACGCAATGCAAATATCGATATATATAGACAATAGTGGAACATAAAACATGCGCGTGAAGTGGACCATATTGGGTTATAGGTGTTCCGACCAAAATCATAATATTAAATGGACAACTTTTAAAGACAGGCCGGCATTCGAAGGATTATTTTGACACTGAATGTAAGCAGAGATGATAATTAATGATATTGATGTCAAAGTTTGGAAAATAAATAACGAGTATATGATTAAAGAAACAGAACAGTATAAATCACAGTACGGCGCTTTGTATTCCGCATAAGAAAGGGTTTCATAGTGTGAAAAACATCACACTGTCTAGTATTTTGTATGACGATTCCTTTTAATTCTTGTTACTGTGCTGCAATAGCTGCGCTGTTACCAAGTTTCTTTTTAAATGTATGAGTACTTGGAATACATTTCTCTGTTTTATGAAAGAGAACATGAAACCATACCTGACAAACATCTTTAACACTTTTATATTTAAAAGTTCCAGACCGAACTGATTTCTTGTAAATATTCCAAACACTGTGTTTAATACAGGTGCAGAGTATGAACACGCCGCAAGGTAAAATAAATGAGAGGTGTTTTTATTTTGAAAATGTCAAATAGTTTCCGGAGAGCTGTTGGTTTGTTAGCGTCTTGTATTTTGTTAGCACTGTCGGGCCCTTCGAATGAGTCGTTAAAATAACAATCTGAAGATCAGTTAATTTTCTTGTTACTGATATAGTTTTAAAATGTAAAACAAATTCATGAAGAGCGAAATGACATTTTGGATTTAATTAACATTACAATCGATTATATATTTTCTGTGATACACGTGTGTTACAAAAACCAACATATCCAGAGAAAGCACGGTGGCACGACATGGTACGAAGAATGACTTGAATACATGGCTCGAAAGAAGTCATCATCACTTTAAGAACACATTTTAGCAGTTCGGCGGTTTCAACAAGAAAACCATTAAGATTGATGCATTTATTAAATTGAATCTCAACTCGATTCTATCATAACGTAGAGGTCCAATATGGTACAACTCCTGCATTGACTGCATTAAAGAACCATGTAAATGTTTAGTTGGACAGAGAATCCCTAATACTAATATATGAAAAATTGAAAATGTCCCCGTGGATGGCCTCTCGAGGTAGAAGAAGATAATTACAAAGCGTAGCTTCAGCGCCGCATACTCCTGACTATAGACAATATTGGCATCACACTATACCTGGGCGCTGAAGTAAAGCCAAGCCAACAGCGCAGAGAATGTGTTAGGCTTGTTTGGGATGCGTGGCAGTGTTTACTGGTGACAGAATATGAATTGAAATCCAAGGCAACCATGAAGGAATTGAACGCATTCTCAGGGATTCTTATCTTAACACTTCAGTTTTTGACAGGTACGTATGTTTTAGTTGAATATTTGATACTATCATCGCTGGAACTGCTTGTTTACATTTTCCTTTTTTCTAGATCTCTCGTTCGTGTTGACAACATTGCAGCCGTACCATAACATACAGTGTTAGCTGCAGGCTCCAATTCTCGTGTGACCGAGATCCTCTTAGGTTGATGTGTACTGACGATTTCCTGACACTGAAATCAATGTTAAAATCTGAAAGCACGTTAATCACAGTATTCGTCATCTTTATGGCGTAGTGTTCCCACGTTGTAAGAGAGTCACCATTATGCATTTTTGATTGACCGCGAGACTAAAAGGAGTCCTTGATATTACTAACATGCTCTATTCCTTCATTCTATATAATCATGTTGCAGACGCTTACCATACAAAATACTATTTTTTGTTAAACCATTTCAGTTCGCAATCCACAATATTTATGACATGAATGTCGTTTTTCGACATTTTGACCCATTTATACATGAATAGCGAAATTGGAGAAATCAATATAATTTTGAATAGATTGCATTCTTTCCAATCATAGTTTAATAAATTCCTACATTATTTAAGAAATTGCTTTAATTTTAGGTTTAAAAGGTACTTACTGTATATGATGCTATACTACTATTTCAATTGGATGATTTAATACCGAGGTTATATGTCAATCAAATCAAATCTAACTGCCATATGATACTTTAATTCACTTCGATTTTTGTATTTGCTGTTTGATGATCGTTGGTATCCCCGGTGGTTCCGTTGTTGTTGCCCTTGTTCTCATTTGTAAACGTGACATTACTTTCTTGGATTGACCAAGATTCCATGACGGTTGTCATCGATGATATAGAATGTCGCTTACGATTCCCGAACACTGGTTTCTCTTCTCCAAGTTTTTAGGAGTCTTCGTGTCAATTTGTTATGTTCATAGTTTGTCCCAGTTTTATGGAATTTGTGTTTGACTTAAGATTCTGTTAACTGAGTATTTTCTTTGTTCCGTTACGTAACAGAAAAATCGAGTGAAGCGAAGCATTTGCTTTGGATCACATTGCGATTACATGTCAAGCTTACATAAAACGTGTACACAACGGCTGACAGGTTCAATACAAATCTAAATACAGCCATCGAAATAACTTGTCATATGGTCTGAAACTAAAATTGCGTTATTGTTCCAACGTGCTAAACTAAAATAGATTCTTAGGTATCTGAGGTACTTCCACTTGCGGCTCACGAGAGCATGTGGTTCCTCGTTTAAAGGCTGCCTTCCGTGATAGATATGACTTATGTACATACATGTTTATCAAGTTTCCCTAGCGATGCACTACGAGCCAAACTGGAAGAAACATTTAAATGTCAATGAAGATATAAGCGCATTAAATAACGAGACTACATCATTCATGCTGTGGTCTCTGCAACGAAAATAATCTTATAAAAAATATCACAGAAGGAAATCTATATCTACATAGACGACGAATATAGAAAGCAAACAGAAAATGCTTTTGAGGTATCAGGTGGCGTGCTGTGTCCTAGCGGTTTAGCATGTTCGAATTAGCTCGTTCGTTTTACTGTTTTATTTTGCCGAAAGGTCCAATGGATAGCGCTAGCTCCTCAAATAGTCGGCGGGGTTATTATTTCTCAAATGAAGTGTTTATTAGAATTAAATGAAACGGTATCATATGCTTGATGTTAGAAGAATGGCAAAATACAAGACACCTAAGGATATTTTTTAAAGTAATAAGAAAATCACACAAAAGATACACGAAGAATGATAACAGCGATGAGTAGGTAGAGACGGATATTTGATACCAAGGAACATTCCATTTTATGTGGAACGCTCAGAGATTTCAACACCTCCCTGTAGTGCATTCATATATCATACTGTTGTGGTACGTAAATTCCTATTCCACAGGTTGCCCATAACGCTCGTTCTGTATTGTAAAACTGGTTATTTTCTGTGGGTTATATGTCTTCATCATTTTCGAAGATGGATCGAATGCCAAGTTAAAAAGCCATTTATTAAGGATACCATTTGTTTGTTGCGGACGCCAAATATCAATTTCACACTTTTAAAGCCTTTATGAATGATTTCAAGATTTCAATGCATATACACACAAAGTTGTGAAAAACACACGATCCTTGAAAAAACCCATTTAAATATGGTTCGTCTTACTAAACGGAAAGTTATAAAAATCCCAGCCTAATGAAAAAATGTTATAACTAAAGTGAACGATCGTAATTAATGACAAATACGTTTACAAAAACCATAGATGCTTTTAAAATGCCTTTTGTTATCCACGGATTAAAACGAAATATTTGCCTTGCCGTGGGTCGTTTTTGATTCTCAATAAAACTAACGATGGATGTATGTTTTCGTTTAGATAAGAACAGATTCTCCATTATAAAGCGGGCCGTTATAAACATTTTATGTTTGTAAAACTAGAATCAACCTCATGCTGTCTTATCATAAACTATCCAGAATGATAAGAAGTCTTACTGAAAACTAAAAAAGTTTCCCTACAAGAAACCGTTAAACGTAATGCTAAAGGAATTCTAATGTAGACGCTGACAGCAGGGAACCAGTAAAACTAAATACGTTACATTTTCCTGTCTCTACAACCTGTAAATATCAGTCCAGCGGTTTTAGAACAGGTGATAGGAGGATTTTAGTTTAACAATAATTACAGATGAATGTTAAAGCGAATGCCTTACTCGTTTTATAACAAAACAAATATGAGGAATTGTAATCCTTAAAAGATTAACGATATATAGTCAATTGTGAATTTCGCCTTTACACAGAATGTAAAGTTGAATCATCGGATGTTTTAACATTATTGTAAATTGATGGAAACAATCCAATTTGCTATCACTAAAGTTATCATGCTCACTGACATTTTACTGTCTAGCTTGTGAATTTTATTAATGCACTCTTGGGATTTGGAGTAGAACAGTAAAACGAGCGGATATGCAATAGAATAAATTCAGAGATGTAGCTTCAGCTTTGGAGAAGAAAGCATTGGAGAAGGAAAGTCAGTCAAGGTCATTCAATGATACTGAAATCGGCTGCAAATCGATAATTCACTTGCTTGAACGAAAACTGTTTTAAAATGGATCTCCCCTAGATATTCCTATAACTAGCTTTTGAAAAATAAATATATTTAACAAACCACAACAGTTTGGGGCTTGATTGAACTTCGGGCTGATGTCTTCATTATGGACGAACTTTAATGTCCTAATTCTGGAAAGAAAGTCGTAACACGTGGTAATTATAGTATTGATTCACTAATCACGGCACCTCAGTGTAATTGTACTAAGTATTGATTTACAAATATCCTAAACATTGACAGCTTGACGAAACTCTATAGAGTATGAACCCCCAAGCTATACCTTAGGTGACTCTGTGATAAGCGTAAAGCATGTAGAGTGACGATCTATAGTTCAGCCCATACAATAAAATTAGGTCACATGTCATAGTGGAATGTATTTAGAAAACAAGAAAACATATAAAGATTTAAAGTACCATACAGTACAATACCTTTTGTTACGACACATTCCATATAATTAAGGTTATTATTGGAACCGAAGGCGGGAACCGATTGTCTCTTAATGAGATTGTCCAAATATTCGCGAGTTCATGAACGTTGTGATAATATTAGGTGGGTTTCCTAATTAGTCATAAAAGCTGTGGGGGAGCCATTTATAACGATATTTTCTCCTTGTCCAAGAGCATATTCTGTCTTAAGGACCTATTATAATAATTGGTACAAGCAGTACAGAAGGCGTTATAGTATTTTTGTGCACTTAGGTATCGTTTGTACCCTCAATGCATTTACCTTAATCAAATAAACCCTTTCAGGTTTTAATATTTGTATGATGCTATCTGAAGATGAACTGACAGAAGCCGACCTTGTTTCATATAAACTTTCACACGAACTGAGACCTCTTCAAAACAAACCAGTGTAGTGTGATACATACTGAAATGCAAATGTAAGTGTGCATTGGAGTTTAGGACAAAACCGCTCTAAGGCAGAAATGTCAAACTAATACATATTATGTATCTTTGGAAACTTGCTTTTATTAGTTAATCATACTATATGAAGCTTTAAGTCACGTGCGGTACACTGACGTCAGTTACTTGACAATGTGGTGAGGGGGTCATTAATGGAAATGTCCAATACAAAGTCTATTTAATATTGCGTGTGACCATCATTTGCGGTAATTACAGCATTGATTCTTCTCCTCATGTACCTGGTATGCGGTAGGATAGTGTTCCTAGGAATGATCCGCCATTCCTCGTGGAGAGCCTGCCCAAGTTCTGCCAAAGTTTTTGGTGGGTTTTGGCGTCGACGTACACGGCGGTCTAAGGAATCCCAAATGTGCTCTATCGGATTTCAATCCGGGGATTTTCATGGCCACGGCAGCACATTAATGTTATTGATCCTCAGGAAGTTTCCTGTTGCCCGCGCAGTGTGTGGGGTGGCGTTGTCCTCCATTAACGTCAACTTTGTGTCATGACGTCTGAGATATGGTAAAACCTCTGTTCAGTACCTCACTGCAATACCTTGCTGCAGTTAGATTCCCCGGAATCGTGATCAGATCTGTTTTATCATTATGTCTGATTCCTCCCTACGCCATAACACTTACCCCTCCACAACGGTCGATCTGTTGTGCACAGTTATCGTAAAAACGTTCTCCACAACGTCGCCATACTCTGCAGAGTCCATCGCTCATGCTGAGACAAAATCTCGATTCGCCTGTGAAATCTACACGATCTCCACTAAAGACGTTGACGTCGATGACGTTGTGAAGGAACCAAACCTTTATATTGCAACCGAGCTTTTAACGAAAAAGATTTCAACCGTCCATGGACTGAGACGATTCCGAAAAAAATGTCGTGACGTCAACGTCGACGTCAAATAACGACCCCTGATATGACAAAGGCGGATGTACTTGTCCTTTACGCGGTCCACCACTTCCTTGCAGATCTTTTTTTTTGTTCCGTGAATCCAATAC